CCTCACCACCCTCCAGGCCTTCCGCACAGCCCTTAAAACCTGGCTGTTCCGGCAGGCTTGGGGCTAAAGACTTCCAGCCCCACTCTGAATGGTATGATTGTTGCGTTTTTAGTAGTGTATGGTCTTTGTTTTGTAATTTGTTTGTTCCCCCTCCCTTGAATTGTGAGCCGCCCTGAGTCCCCTCAGGGAAAAGGGCGGCATATAAATAAAGCAAATTCCACTTCCAATTCCAATTCAACAAGTGGGAAAGTATTCAGTTAAAAAATCACCAAAACCACCCAAAGTCATACTGATATTTTCGATTTTCAGATTTTGCATGGATTTAAATATAAGAAAATAGACTTTCAACAATTTTTGTTAAATATTTTTTTTTAAATGTTGCTCACCATTTCTTCCAAAAATGTAAAATTCATACTAAAAATATTTTTTTGACAAAGAGAACATTTACAATATGTATGGTAGACAGTTAGGCACTCCTAGTACCTTACAAAGATTTTTCTAATAGCTTTTTTATTATCAAGAGCAACAATAATGGGAGGGCCAAGGGAAAGTTAACCATGCTATTTGCACAAAAAAATATCAGAATTGGTTTAGCTACTTCTGTAACCATGTTGTCCTTACTTTATTTACTATATGAACCTATGGGACGGTTGATATATATTTTCTCAAATGTAAAGCATTCAAAATAAAAAGGGTTTATTATAGTAAGTATTATAGAAACGGCCTTCCCAATATATTGAGGTTTATCCTAGAACACGTGTCAAATTTGCCACGTCTTGTCGTCGTCACGTGACGTTTCGTGATGTTTTTTCCATTTGTGGAGCTGGGGTGGCCATGGCCTGTATGTGATGCATCCGGCCTATGGGCCGCCAGTTTGATACCCTTATCCTTGAAGAGTGGTTAATGTCACAAGGAGACTTTAATTCAGGAACCAGCATGACACCAAAGACTCACCTGTGAGCTCTATGTGCAGTCCCAAAAGCATCATTAATGTAAACATCTCCTAATTTAGAAAGTGATGCTCTAAAAGCATCCACTTTTGCAGAATCAGCCTTGATCTGGAAGAAAACAAAAAAGAACAAGTCAATTGACATTCAATCCTCAACCCACCCACCTTCACCACAGCATCAAGGTTTACAAAAAGGTTCCCTAAATGTAACACTGCTATGCAAAGGGTAGCAAAAGGGGAACTTTCACTAGGAAGAGGATGATGAAGTAAAAAGTACCTAGCAGGTATGTTACCTATTCACTTTGGGCTTTTTGACCTAGCTACCCATAATGCCCTTGATTAAAAAAAAAGAGATTAAAGAAACTTAGGCGCTCCCTCTCCTAAATCCTGGGTTGTATAAACAGAGGTATAGAATCAAGATCACGTGAAGTATTAGTGCTGCTTTACAAAACCCTAATAAGAACACACCAGGAATACTGCATCCAGTTTTGATCACCACATTACAAAAAAGTTGTTGAGACTTTGGAAAAAATACAGAGAAGAGCAACTAAGATGATCAAAGGCCTGGAGACTACAAACATAGGAAAAACGGTTGCAGGATTTGGGTTTGGTTAGTCTAAAGAAAAGATGAATTAGGGGTGACATGACAGCAATATTCCAGTATTTGAGGGGCTGCCACAAAAAAGAGGGGGTCAAATTATTCTACAAAGTACCAGAAGGCAGGACAAGAAACAATGGTTGGAAACTAACCAGAGAGAAGCAACCTGGAATTAAGGAGAAACTTCCCAACAGGACAATTAACCAGTGGAACTTGCCTCCAGAAATCATGGGCACTCCATCACTGGAGGTTTTAAAGAATAGCAGTAGACTTATATACCGCTTCATAGGCCTTTCAGGCCTCTCTAAGCGGTTTACAGAGAGTCAGCATATTGCCCCCAACAATCTGGG